AGGAGGAGGGAGAGGAGCCGCCCTGGAGGATCCCCAGCAGCCTCAGGAACAAAAAAAGAACGTGCCCAGCAGTGAAACCAGCGCTGGGCTGGGTGCCTGGGGCCTTTCCTGGCTTTTTAACTTGGATTGTTGCCAGGGAAGGCCTCCAGCAAACAAGGTACTGCGTGGGGTTTTGTGCTGGGGTTTTGTGCTGGTTCCCCCCACCCCTCACCTGGAAAAGCAGCGTCCCTTCCAGGAGGGTGGTGCTGTGAGCAGGGAATGCTCCTGCCTGTGCCTTGGAGGGGTTCCTGCTCCTCCTGGGCCCCACAGGAATGTCCTGCCCATGGTGGGAGCTGGGGATGGGCAGCTCTGGGCAGTGAGTGCCCCTGGAGTGGGGGGCTCAGAGCTCAGCAGCCCCAAGCCAGGGCTAATCAGCCCTTCTGCAAGCTCAGGGCAGCCCTGGCACAGAGCTGCTCCTGGCAGGGGCCGGGCTCTTTAGCTCAGTTACTAATCCCAGGGTTGGGAAATGCTGTTTGTGTTATCCTGGGACTGAAACAAGCCTTTTCTCCCTCGATTTGCAGGGAAGTGGCACAGAAGTAAACTCAGCTCACTGCTCGTGTCAGAGGCCAGAGCAGTGAGTGGCACCCCGTGATCCATGCTGTCCTGGATCCTCTGTCCATGCTGTCCTGGATCCTCTGTCCCTCATCGGAGGGAGCAGCACCAGAGGAAGATGAAATCATTTGGCAGAGATTTTGGACAAGTCCCTGGTGGAGCTGGAAGTGCAGCCCCTGCTGGAGTCAGAGATGCCCATCCTGGCCTGGCCCTGCCAGCTCTGGACTCGCCCCTTTTTGCCCCACAGGCTTTGGGGACACAGGGATTGCTCAGATGAGCCCTTTTCCCCCGGGCTGGCCCCGGAGTTCAAGCATCCCTGGCATTTTCCTTGGGTGGCACCGACGTTCCAGGCCAGGAGCCAGCCCAGGAGCCAGCCCCCCTCTTCCTGGCACGGCTGGGGGTGCACAAGGAGCCCGTTGTGCTGCCAGGGAGGATGCTGAGGGAGGATGCTGGAGTGCTCCGTGCCCATGTGGGCGGGGTGGCAGCGCGGGGGGTGCGTGGTGGCAGCTGCTCCTCCTTCCACGGCCCAAAATCAAGGAACAAAGGACAAATTCATGGGGCTGGGAGTGGCTCCCCGTGGGCTGAGCACACTTGGAGCATTGTGGAGCTGGGAGAGGCAGCGCTGGGCAGCCCCTCACCCCCACAGTGGGTGACCACCCCTGTGTCCTGCACCTTTGCCGGAGGCTCCCGGGATCCATTTCCATGGAGGGCTGTTTTTCAGCCAAGAAACCTGAGAAACCCCTGGCTCTCCTTCAGAGCAACCCCATGGAGAGCAGTCCAGCTCCCCTGCAACATGGAAGTTTACCATAATCCTGCCTTTTTCCCCCCTGCAGGTGTTTCACATATAAATCAAGTTTCTCGCTCCCATTTTGGGGGAGCCATGGTGGAGCTGAGTGAAAGGAAGCAGTGTTGGAGCTCTGCTGCCCTTCCCTACCCAGGTGGTTACAAATCACTGCATAAACTGCCTTCAGCTCCCTTCCACCTCCACTCACCCTCCCCATGGTCAGAATGTGGATCCAACACTTTGAGGGCCGCAGACATCCAGCATCCTACTCCCATTTTTCATTTAGCTCTGGAAATAAGCAGTGTCAAGCTGCTGTGTCAGTTTGGCTTAAATTCACAGGAGAACTCATTTGATTTGGAGCCGTTTGCATTATTAAATATGACTGCACGAGAGCCCCTGGGGGATAATCCTTTATGATAAATGATGTTTGAAATGAGGGAGACCCGATCCCGGCCGGCTCAGGCTCCAGTCACAGCTAATCTGCAGCAACAAGGAAAGGCACAGCAGAGCAAAAGGGCAGGGGCTGAATGTGGACAAACCAGCAGCTCAACCTGCAGCACCATCAGTGTGACAGCAAAGACACAACATCTTTATGGATGGTTCTTTCTGGAGCATCTTGCTGTGACATGTCCCTGGAAGGGCTCAAAAGCCCTGTGGATGTGGCACCTGGGGATGAGGGTCAGTGGTGGACCTGGCAGTGCTGGGGGAATGGTTGGACTTGGTGGTCTTGGAGCTCTTCTCCAACCTCAGTGGTCCTGTGATAAAGCCAACACTTCCCTACCTGAGGGTTTCTCTCCTGTAAATGCACCTCGGTCCACTCTCGATGTGGTTTAGTGCAGAAGCACCAGAAATCTGGCAAGAAACCTCAATGGCAAACAAAAGCCTCTTGTTTCCTGAAATGCCTTTGGAAATGTACGTGGGTTTCAGTGGAAACAAGGAAAGCATCCATTTTCTGCAGGACTCCAGCACTGGGAGACACTTATTTGTCCTGTCACCCTCTCACAGGCTCTGTTTGAGCCAAGGGTAACACACCTTTTGCTGGCCTTGGAGGGAAGTTTTCTCATCTGAATGTATTGATTTGGTTCTGACATGAAAATCCCTGTGCACAGGGAGGATAAATGCACAGAAACAGGGACTTAAGGTTTAAGAGAAACTGTGGTGAAAGTATAACCTTGGTATAGTTTGGGACTTCAGGGGTTAACTCAGTGCCCTCTCTCAGCTGAAAACTACCCCAAAGGAGGTTTTCTCCAAGAGACTCTCAATGTGCTGTTTGTTAGGAGTTGTTTAAAGGGTTCCCTGGTTGCCAGTGAAACCTCAGAGCTCTTCTGCCTCCCTCCCCAGGATTTTGGGAGCACTGAGCAACCCCAGACAGGCTCAGGCTAAAGGAGGAAGTGAGGAAACGTCTCTCCTGGCTGGTACTTGCTCTGTGTGCCCGAGCCAGGCTGCTATTTTGCTGTGTTAAGAATGGCTTTCTAACTGTGTCACAGCTGGGTGCACATTTCCCACCAGCTCCTGCAGGAACAGGGCCTGGATTTGCTGCCCTGCTGAGCTCAGGGTGTTGCCATCCATTCAACACTGAGATGCAGGGGCTGATTAGCAGCCAACAGGCAGCTTTTTGGCCCTTTCCTTCTGAAACAATCAGTGTTTAGGGCTTGACTGAGAAGGATTTGGTGTGAGATAAGCTTCCCAGAGTGGGGCCAGGACTGAAGTAATAATTGAATAAGTGTGAGGTGGTGAATGAGACACGTAAGGATGAGTCAGAGCCAAAGCTGCCCTTGGGAAGGAGGGAAAAGGC